TCTGTTGTAAACGACAAAATGAAAGATAAAACTGAAATACGAAAAAAGGAAAAAAAAAATTAAAAACTACATGAAAACTGAAGAAAAAGATAAGAAAAGTGAAAGTGAAAGTGAAAGTGAAAGTAAAAGTGAAAGTAAAAGATTAACGAATGATGCAATGAACCCACAAAAAATGGCCTAAGAAGATGGATGGGAGCTTGTCCAGTTTCCGCGATGTCAAAAGATTGTGGCAGCTGTATGTAACGGGTTTTGGTCTTTCAGAATTTTGATAAACGAAACATCTTCAATCACAAATGTCAGGTTAGAAAAAGTGTTGGCGCAAATGACTGAAATGGATATTACCAATTGTTTGCTTGCTGCAATAACAATTGGTTTTCGTGGCAAAATAACCTGATTTCTTTTTATTTTATAGGGAGTCTTTCAGAAATGATAGAAATGTTTACATGTATTGGAAATGTTGGCAGCTCAACGACAATTGATGACATCGGATTTAAAATGTGTCGGAAGGGTGATTATCAGTAAAAAGAAAAGTAAAGAAATAAAGATGGCCGTTTGAATTTGGGGGTGATTTTGAATATGGACTGTGAGCATTTCTGTTGTCAGCTGTGTTATGCTATGTTTTTAAAAACTGTGGTGTCACGTGGCCGTGACGTAGTGTGGATTCTGCGGATTTTAAGACATTTTAGAATGCACTTCTCAAAATAAACGTTGATTTCTTTTTCCGAAATATAAATCGTCGTCGTCGGCATCCGTCCGTCTCGAGAGACGATTGAGTAACGCGGTGCGTTACGAGCATGGGCGGGATATATGGAGAACTATGGCTCCCAGGATGTCTAGTTCCCCCTTGCTAGCAGAGTCCAAAGGATAGGATAAACCAATACAGTTTGGTACCTACGCGGCTGCAGGAAATGCCGGAAGGTAGCACAAAGTGCCGTCTATCCGCCTTAGGGGCTCAACTCCGGGTTTGAATTCAGAGTTGTCCTTCTAGTCCAGTTGCCATCCAAGGCTATAGAACCCAGTTTGTCCTGCTATTTTCCCATAGCTGAAGGGAGAAGAAGATGATTCACATATTTCACTATATATATATATATATATATATATATATATATAGACAATTTTCTCACCCAAAGTCAGTAATACGTAGGTACCTCCACTTTTTCAGTAAAAGCAGCACAGTATGATAAAAAAGGACCCAAACTTAACATAAACAAAATTTTATCATCAAAATGTTTGTTATTATTAAGAGGAAAGATAACAATATTTTTTAACTATTTAAAAGAATTTTTCATTCCTTTCTAACATTATCAAAATTTGCGATAAAAAATCTTGTTTTTTTGATGCGTCAATATTGTAAAAGAACTGGTAATGGCCACTCTGTGTTTTATTGCAATAGATAATGCCTCGATCCAGCTCTGTTAGTGGGGGCGTAACCAGTCGTCTGTTTTTCTGTTATTTTTCGTTTTTATTTTTAATCATTAAAAGTAATGTTAGTCTAAACTTTTTTTTATTGCTATAGTGTACATATATATATATATATATATATATATAAACCTAAAAAGCTTGGTAAACCTACCTAGTTTTCACCTCAACGGTTAGTCAGGGTTAAACTGGCTAAAGAGGTAAAAATGGAACAGAATATATAGATTAAACCAAAAACAACAACGACCATGTGACCAAAAATAAACAAGTAAAACCAGTAATCACGTGACGTTCTTTATTTAACAACAACAACAAAAAAACAAACAAACAAAACCGCTATTCTAATAACGAGCGTTTTCTATGTCTACACCTACTAAGTATTTCCGATTTTAGATTTAATAAATTATTCGGTTCTTTATAGCTAGCAATAGCTAACTTTTCCTCCGTCCATAGGGAACAAAATTTATCACCTGCTTTATACCTGTGACATTTTTTTGACTATTTCCCATTTCAAAATGGTGTCTTTATTATTCTCTTGTTTGACCTTCCATACAAAAAAGGACAAGATGGCACTGTGTTTATAAGTTCCACTATTGAAACTACTAAGGTGGTTATAATATCGTTTTTTGAAATTATTCTGGGTAGATCCTATGTAAATATATATATATATATATATATATATATATATATATATATATATATATATATATATATATATGAAGAAAAATATACGGAAAAAACAAACAAAAATCCTTACATGCAATTATGCTGTTTTAATGTTAATATAATATCAACGTTGGACGTTTCGGTCTAATAAACCATCTTCAGGACATATTCATAAAATATAATTAATATTATCAATTCAACATGTCAAAGACGATGGACATAAGAACAAGACTTATCCAAACAGATAACTGAAAGTTTTATAAGATCAGCGTCCGACGTTGACATTATATTAACATTACAACAGCATAATTGCATATAACGATTTTTGTTTGTATTTTCCGTATATTTTTCTTCATACTGTCGGATCTATATTTGCTTACATGTATATATATATATATATATATATATATATATATATATAAGTTAAGGAAATGATTTGGAGAAAATATTCGTCTGGGTAACATTCCCAGCGTACGGCACGTTTGGGGAGTGCCTGTAAACCGACCATACTGTGGACTCTTCCACAACAAGCTAGTTAACCCTTGCTACGAAATGCACTATTCCTGTTATAATTTTCATCATCACAATCTTACAAATATATAAAAAGTATTCATTGGTCAATCACCTTCAATCTCGCTTGCTGATTGGTCAGTTTCGACCAATCAAACCGCCTGCACGCGACCAATCTGTTTTCCTGCACAATATGCTGGGAAGCCTCTCACGTGGTACACGACCATTATATAAACAGAACACGTGTAGCTCCCTTAGTAGTTTCTTTTCATTCATCTCTCTCTCGCGCGTCTCATTCCTTGCTACCAAGTGCCAAGATGTAATCTTCAAGAACTCCCGTCCTAGCCATTGCGGTCAGACGTTAAAGACCATTACCAACATTCACGCAAGTACGAACTCTGAAATCTCTCCTGAACTTTTACCAACTTTACAACTCACAATTCCAAACACGCTAAAGAAACTGTATTCTTCTAAATTACAGTTTAATATTACTTCCTTTTAATATGAACTCAGGTACAACTATTATCTAATCAAAGGGACACGACTCTGTCCTACCTTTTCAGTTCGCATGCATGTATATCAAATATTAATAAATTCAATTGTTATGTTTTGAAATCATTCCGTTCAGTTTTGTATTTTATACTATGTGCTATTTTACGTCATATATAAATTGCATTGCGTCCACGGAGTGTCCTTAATCCCGCCTTTCTTAGCCAAAGTTAAATATTGGTGACACTACCATTACAATACTATGGGTTATAGTTAAATTGGGAAGAGGGAGCGGCCAATGTTTATTCAGGCACAATGTCATATGTCCATAATTAATAACCTGATGGAGGTTCTTTTGTCTTGGCTGGCAATCTGTTTTTAATGTCGCAAAAATATTAATCTCCCAAAAAACAACTGAAAATTACTGAAATTCTTTAAAAATATAGTCATGTGATTTCAGAATAGGTGCAAACAACAGCACAAATGATAGCATTCGAAAGGGTAATCATTTTTAAATATTTAACAAATCGGTAACCTTAATCATACTTGTTATAAAACCCAGGTTGTGTGTGTGTGTGTGTGTGTGTGCGCGCGCGCGTGTGTGTGTGTGTGTGTGTGTGTGTGTGTGTGTGTGTGTGTGTGTGTTCGTTTATATATTGGATCGGATTTCCTACACTTTTCAACCGATTTCAACAAAACTTCACAGGACTACGTAAAATTAATTTGCGGTAGTTCTGACAGCGCCAAAAATTGGAAAAACACAATTGTTTTTGCACAAAATCAATTTGAAAACACGATTAAGAGGCATCACTGTCGCCAGAATGAAAGGGAGACAACTCATATCGAGTTATACTTATTATAAAACCCAGGTTGTTTGTGTGTGTGTGTGTGTGTGGTGATTGTGTGTGTGTGTGTGTTCGTTTATATATGGGATCGGATTTCCTACATTTTTCAACCGATTTCAACAAAACTTCACTTTTTTTTGGCAGGTAGTGTTTCTTATTGTCTTGCACACTTTTTTCTTCATTTTTACATTCAGAATGCTTTAAAAATTCCATTTACAAGACAATTGTTTATAATAAAATTCTATTTAATCGGTAGACTCATAACGATTGAAAACAATGTTTTTGTTTGAGTTTGGGTTTGACTAATTTGTAAAAAAAAACACAAAACAAAACAAAAAAAAACTAATTAAGACATGTGTGTCCGTCAACCTTAAACAATAATCTTTGTCAATTTTATTTTTCAGTCTTTATGATGGTCGATACTTGATCTATCTCTTACTGTTACATCCTCGGGCAACGCCGGGCTCTACTGCTAGTTACTACTACTACTACTACTAATAATCCATAAACCTTTGGCTGTCCCTGTTGCACAATACTATTTAAGAATTTGCCAGAAAGATTAGGGAGTTGGAACAAGGGGAAGCCTATAAAATACCTAGGAGTCAGCGAAGGAGACAAAATACAGCATACCCAAATGAAAAAGAAAGTAAGTAAAGAAAACTACAGGCATGCCTTTCGGGTGGTAATACCGAGCTGATTTCACAAAACAGAATATCAGCCATAAACACCTTTGGCTGTCCCTGTGGTGAAATACAGTTTCGACATCCTTAATTGGACTATAGCTGACATTCGTGACTCATGAGTGATATCGTCTCTTCTATCTTCCGTTCTTTCTGTCATTCATTGTTGTAAATTAGAACTCAGTGTAAATAAGGCAAGTAGCCACATTCGAGTAGGATTTAAGTAGTATTTGATTTACTCCAGTATTTTCCGTTCTATGTATGAGTATTTAATAAACTCCTTTGTTTTATTCTGCCTAGTCTTCTGTTCCTTCGATACGCTCTGTAACTACGCCCTTCCTAATTCTCCGCTATTTTGAACGAAAAAAATATTACAACACTTTGCATTTTATCATTGCGACTAAGCAACGACTCAGAGGAAGTCTTTTCCGACTTCCCTTGCGACCAAGTCCATTATCTATGAGGTACGTACGTACGTACGAACTAAGAAACTAAGGGAGATGAGGGGGGTACAATTAAAAATATAATAACATGATAATAATAATAATAATAATAAGGAGAAAGATGTGGACGAAGGGAGGAATTGAAAGCGGACAAACACACACACACACACACACACACACACACACACACACATATATATATATATATATATATATATATATATATATATATATATATATATATATGATATTATAAATTTACTAATTTAAAAATATGGTTCCATCGCTACACATGAATTACCATGTTTCAAAAACAGAAACTAAAAACTTCAAATTGAATTATAGAATTAAATCAAAGTCACTAGTTCTGTTTCATTTTCAAGCGAATTTTAAAATAACTAAAGAAGAAGTGAAAAAGGAAAAGAATGAAATATAACATAGGCTGGTTGGGTACTGGAGAATTTACCAGAGCGACTTTTACGAAACTAAGAGACAGAATGCTGAGAATTTGAATCCAGTAAATTCGGAATAATAGAAGTCATTCTAAAATTCGCTTGAAGATGAAACATAACTAGGGACTTTGATTTAATTTTATAATCGAATTTGAAATTTTTAGCTTCTGTTATTGAAACATGGTAATTCCTGTGTAGCGACGGAACCATATTTTTTTAATTAGTACATTTATAATATTTATGCTCTGTAGATTTGCATTGAGCACTGTTTTGTAAAAAATAAAAATAATGTCTAAGTACACCGGATTATATATCTTACTGTTCTTTCTTTATTTTATTATATATATATATATATATATATATATATATATATATATATATATATATATATATATCATATAACCTAAAACCTAGCCACACAAACCTACCTAGGTTTCAACTACGCGGATCGTCAGGGTACGCTGGCGAGCGTACCCTGATGATCCGCGTAGGTGAAACCTAGGTAGGTTTGCCTGGCTCTTTAGGTTCATAATTAGATTTGCTTTACTTAGTGTATTGAGCACTTTGCTTAGTTATTTTTACTTCACTCGTGTTGGAGGTATATTCTTTCTTTGGACTCTGAGCTTGGATTCTGGACGATTATTTTCGTCTCAATTACATGTTCTTAGTTCTTTCTTTTTTTTATTCCTTCTTTTTTTCCTTTGGTATTGGTTTGTTTATTTACAACTCAATACACCTAAGGACGAGTATACTTACTTATATTTATATTTATATATATATTATATATATATATATATATATATATATATATATATATATGTGTGTGTGTGTGTGTGTGTGTGTGTGTGTGTGTGTAAAGAATTTTACGAGAAGAACGGGGGAAAAGTGATCACGGATAATGAACTTCAAGTCGTGGATAAGTGTTGTACAAATAACGCAATGAAGAAACGAATGAATAAGAAAGATTGAAAGAAAGTGAAGAATTGAAAAGGAAAAAGAACGAAAAATTACGGAGGCTGGGTGCGTGCCGGAGAATTTAGCAGAGCGACTTTTACGAAACTAAGAGACAGAATGCTGAGAATTTGAAGCCGAACGAGAACCAACGGTTAGGCTTTCGACAGAATTACAGGAATGATGAGCTGGTTTGGTGAATGGGGACGGTTGCGAGAGATACTAAACACTGGGATTAATCTTGAGATGAAGCGATAATTCTTATCGTCGTCGTTCTCTAATGAGGGTCTTTCTGAACACCTGCTCCTGGGGCCCTGAAGGCTGACTTCCCTACACGTAAATACGCGTTAGTCTAACCCCCTTCCACGTCTATCCCTGGTTTTTCCAAAATAGTACCTTTTTTTCTTTATTCTTGTTCGCTTTTTTTATTTGCTTCAGTTGTCTTTCGTTTCTTTCCTTATTTTTTTTTTTCGTTTCTTTCATTTATTCTCGAAGGTATTTCATTCAGTAGCTTCTTCAGGTTCAAGTATATTATTTCATTCAGAAAAATCGTTAATATATTTTCTTTCATCTTCCTCAGTCTTTAAAACAGTTCTTTCTTTTGTTTGAACTTGTTTTATTTATTTTTCTTCTTCATCTTTCGAAAATCCATCACTTTATTTCTCTTCTTCATCATTACGAAAATTCATTCATTCATTTTATTTTTCCTTGAAGAAAAATCATTCATTTTTCTTCCTCTTTAGAAAATCTATTCATTTTTCCTGTTCATCTTCACGAAAGTTCATTCATTCATTTCCTTTTTCGCCTCAAGAAAAATCATTCATTTTTCTTCCTCTTTAGAAAATCTATTCATTTTTCTTGTTCATCTTCACGAAAGTTAATTCATTCATTTCTTTTTTCGCCTCAAGAAAAATCATTCATTTTTCTTCCTCTTTAGAAAATTTATTGATTTTCCCTCTTCATCGTTACGAAAATTTCTTTTTTCTTCTTGAAGAAAATATCATTCTTCATCTCCAGAAATTTCCTTCATTTTTCTTCTTAATCGTTATAAATGTTTATTCATTTTCTTTTTCTTCTTTGGGAAAATTTATTCATTTTTATTATTCATTCATTTTAGGTTTTCTACTTTAAGAAAATTCTTACATGTCTCTTGTTCATTTTCAGAAAGCTAATTCCTTCATTTTTCTTATCCACAGATAAGAAAATTCATTTTCTTTTCCTTATTTAAGAAAATTGCTTCATTTTTTCTCCATTTTCAGAAAATTCATTCATTATTTTTGTATTTCATCGTTAAGAAAAATAATTAATTCATTCTTTCTCTTGATTTTTACGAATGTTTATTCTCTTTCTTCTTGAACAAAATTCATTCATTTTAGTTTCCTTCTTTCAGAAAATTCATTCATTTTTCTTCTTCATTGTCACGAAAGTTCACTCATTTTTCTTCTTTAAGAAAATTCCTTCATTTTCTTCTTTTTCATAAAGTCCGTTTATTTTTTTCGTATTCATCTTTACGAAAGTTCATTCATTCATTTTAGTTTCCTTCTTTCAGAAAATTCTTTCTTTTTTCTTCTTCATTGTCACGAAAGTTCACTCATTTTTCTTCTTTAAGAAAATTCCTTCATTTTCTTCTTTTTCATAAAGTCCGTTCATTTTTTTCGTATTCATCTTTACGAAAGTTCATTCATTCATTTTTGTTTCCTTCTTTCAGAAAATTCTTTCTTTTTTCTTCTTCATTGTCACGAAAGTTCATTCATCATTTTCTTCTTTAAGAAATTCCTTCATTTTTCTTTTTTTTTCATAAAGTCCGTTCATTTTTTTCGTATTCATCTTTACGAAAGTTCATTCATTCATTTTTGTTTCCTTCTTTCAGAAAATTCTTTCTTTTTTCTTCTTCATTGTCACGAAAGTTCACTCATTTTTCTTCTTTAAGAAAATTCCTTCATTTTCTTCTTTTTCATAAAGTCCGTTCATTTTTTTCGTATTCATCTTTACGAAAGTTCATTCATTCATTTTAGTTTCCTTCTTTCAGAGAATTCATTCCTATTTGGTTCATCTACAGAAGTTTCATTCCTTCATTTTTCTTCTTCACACTTAAGAAAGTTCATTTTCGTTTTCTTCTGTGACACCATTTGGGAAGAAAAGAAGGGAAAAAAATGAAATTTTGATAGTGACAAATGGTGAAAGGTTTCATTGCCATTGCAGAAAATTCTAAATAGATAAAAATGTCGTGGTGGCGGACTTATATTATCGTGAATAGATAACAGCCACTTGGTGCTGGCGAAAATCTAATTGACAAATTCCAGATCGGCTAGCTAAACTCCGGGACAGAATAGATAAACATTTAACTGTGTCACAGGACTGCCTGACCACCCACGAGCTAAAGAAAACAAAGGAAAATAGGTTAAGTCTTTGTCGAGGGAAAGATATCGTTAGACAAGGTCTGGGTTTTGTTAGAATGTAGCGATAAGAGCGAAACAATATTATCGGAAAAGTTAGCCGTATTTGCTGGACGACCACCCACTCTGATAATTGGCAAAAATCTGACTGACGAAGTCCAGATGAGAATTGAGGTTATCACACTACTGATCGCATTGTTCTGTTGGCGGCCAGAGAAGAAGAGAGGATAGAAAAGAAAAGAAGGAAAGGAAATAGAAGAAAAAAAGAAAAAAGAGGAGATAATTCTTTTTTTTCTTTGAGCAAGATATATATTTTTAAGAAACAAGGCTAGTCTGGTCACGCCCACACTGTTGATCGACCATTGGATGAATGTTAACGAGAGCCAGGCGGAGGTGATCATGTGATGCAGGGGAGGAGGCCTGCTACTACTCCTTAGAGAGGATAGGTATAAGATGTTACTGCGAAGAAGTGGGAGGATTGTTGACGCCCTCTGAAGTTAGGGGTAAGAGAAGACTTCCAAAAATGGAAATAATAAATTTTTCCTTACCGAAAACAAAAGAAGGGAATTGTGGATTTGGAATTATCAAGGAACCTCAAACCCCAACAAAGCCCACCCCAGTTTTGGTCGGCGTCCATATAAGCAAAGTCGCAGCAAGCGAAAATGAGAGAGTTTCCCAGTTCATTCCAGTTCGGTTCCCCTCGCAGTTCGCAGTTGAAGTGGGTCCCGCCTCGCATTAGCTGACTTGAAAGATTCGCGCAACTTCCGAACTCACCTTCAATCCAAGAACAATTTATTTTTGAAGAGCGACTTAGATCCATACCACCAAAATAAGTTTTACGACTATCGCCTGAAGACACACCAAGAACCAATTTCTTAAAGAACAGACAACTTAAGATATTAAAACTCACCTAACAAAAACAACGTGTCACAATCCATATACGGGTCGGGAGATAGACGCAGTCCTATGTATCCAACAACCAGATATATAGTATTATTATCCTTTTTTTGATACCTTGAACTTTTGAGTTATTATTTTATTTTCCTTTACACATATTTGTGCGATACCACCCTCATTTGAACTCAACTTGCATTACGGCCCCAACGACTGAATGATTTCGTCTGCCTAAGATCAATTCACAACGTGGGTAGGCGGACTGGAGATCAACGCAGTTACTTCGGTAACCAGACGTTGGAAGCGAGTTGGGAACGACGAGGCTGATATCGAATCTAACCAGATTCCCATCCGAATCACTAAAAGGTTAGAACGTCACATTTGGATGCCGCGACCGATACCAAGCCAGTTGGTCGTCACAGGACGGGACAACACGACTGATGCAGACAGGCGGACGTCACGTTTGGAGCGGCGACACCCGAACGAAGCAGCGAAGAGCGAGCGAAGGCTAAGGGACGTCACACTTCTTTTTTTAACTTTTTCTCCATCTTTAGAAAACTCGTTCATCATTTTTCTTTTTTTCATTTTTAAGGAAACTAATTCATTCATTTTTCTTCTTCCTTAACAAAATTCTTACATAAATTCTTTTTTCCCCAACATTAACAAAATCCATTGATTTTTCTTCTTCGACTTTAATAACATTCATGCATTTATTTTTCTTCATATTTAAATAAATTCATTCATTTCACTTTATTTTTCTTCAAGAAAATTTATTCATTTATTTTACTCATTTTCACACCAACTCTATTAATTTATTTATTTTTCTTCCTTTCTTTTTTAATTGCTTTCTTTATTTTTTTTTCCTTTAAAAGGTTTTCTTTCATTTTCTTCGTTTCTTAACCTCAAAAATATTTGTTTTTCACTCAACCGATTTATTTCCAAATTTGATTTCATTCATTGGTAAATGTCTTTCATGATTCTTCTTTGTTGTTTTATTTTCCTTCTTTCATTCTTTTTGCATTTGTTCCTTTATTTCTTTTTTATTTTTCATTCTTACTTTTCTTTTATTTCCTAACGATTTCTTTTCCTTTCTTTCTTTTTTCTGTTTGTTTTTCTTAATCTTTTTTACTTTTTTGAGGCCCAAATTTCATTCCTCTTTTCCTCCTTTCTGTTTCAACGCTTCTCTTACACTTCGTTTCTTTCCTCTTTAGTCTTTTCTTTTCTTCTCTTTCATTCAATCCTTTTTTCTTTCTTTCTTTCTTTTTTTCGTTTATTAGATCTTAAAACTATAATCAATCATAAAAGCAAGCGTCAACTTCACATGACCCGGCGGAACTTATTCCTTTCGTTTCGTTGCTTCATTGACTTATATATTTTGCAATTTTTTTTTTTGTTTTATGGATTCTACTTTTTCCCAAATTCTTTCCTTTCTTACTTCTTTCCATCATTTTTTTCCTTCCGTGTTTTTTCATGTCATCCCATTACGTTTGTACTTTCTAGAATACGATTTTATTCATACGTTGTTTCCAGAACATATTTACTTTTCTTACGCTTTTTCTTTCTTTCTTTCTTTCTTTCTTTCTTTCTTTCTTTCTTTCTTTCTGTTGTGTATGATACACCTAATTTACATAAGCGGACTACCGACCATATAAATATGGGTTGGTACCGGAAGACGGGGAAGATAGTAGAGATGAAGAGATTGAATCCAGAGACTCTGCCCGACTGCGATTTAGTCAACCCATTATGCAGGAACAGTCTTCCCAAGAATATACCAAACTAACTGTAAATATTGTGTACCTATTCTTTGTTTCAATACATTTTGTTAACGTACATTTTGTGTTGTATTATTCCATGCTTATTTAAGCTTCAACACTTTCTTAATCTCATTCTTTCTTTCTTTCTTTCTTTTATTTTAATCTCATTTCTTTCTTTTGTTTCACTCAGCTATATTTCTTCCGTCTTTCTATCCTCTTTTTATTCTCACTCAATCATCTTTCTTTCTTTCTTTCTTTCTTTCTTTCTTTCTTTCTTTCTTTCTTAGTCTTATATCCTCCTTTCCTTCTTTTTTCTTTCATTCTTTTTTTCCTACATTTTCTTTTTTTCGTTCGTCTTTCTTTCTCAGTCATTATTCTTACGCTATTTCACATTTTCTTTTTTCTTTCTTTCTTTCTTTCTTTTTTCTTTCTTTCTTTCTTTTATGTCACTGACCCATATTTCTTTCCGTCTTTCTTCATCTTTTTCTTTCATTCTAACCATCAAGCAATCATCTTTCATTTAATTTCTTTCTTTCTCTTCTGCCCTTCCTTCTTTCTTTCTTTCTTTCTTTCATTCTTTCTTTCTCATTCATCTTTCTTAATTTTTTTTTCTTTTTCTTTCGTTCTCAGTCATTTTTTTTACTCTTCTTGCTTTCTTTCTTTAATTCTTAATCACCTTTCTTTTGTCTGATTCAGTCACAGTTGTTACCATCTTCCTTTCTATCATTCTTTCTTTCTTTCTATCATTCTTTCTTTCTTTCTTTCTTTCTTTCTTTCATTCTTACTCAATCATCTTTTGTTTAATTTCGTTCATCCGGTCTTTCCTTCTTTCTTTCTCTCTTAGTCATCTGTCCTTCTTTTTTCTTTCTTTCTCATTCATATTCCTTCCTTCCTTCCTTCCTTCCTTCCTTCCTTCCTTCTTTTCTTTCTTTCTTAATTTTCCATCCCTATTTCTTTATTACGCAATTTTTCTTTCTTCTCTGGTCTTTCTTCTTTTTTAATTTTTTCTTTCTTTGTTTCTCTCTCAATCTTTCTTCCTCAATTTTCTTTCATTAATTTTTTCCTTAATCTTCACTCTTTCTTTATTTCTTTCTTAATTTTCTTTCTTTCTTTTCTCTTACTTTCTTAATCTTCTTTCTTTCTTTCTTTTTCATTTCTACAGTTACAGACGGTAAATTGAAAAGGCCAACGTGGTAGCAATTTCTTAAACTGCACCCCGCCCCTCATTTTCCATTGTTTCCGAGGGCTCCTCGTATCTCATAGCATAGTTGCTCTTAGCTAGTTAGTTCTCTTGATGAGTACTTAGTGAGTTCATTTCTCCAACCTCGCTGCCTTGTGCCAGACTATGTTGCTCCAATAATATTTAATAATGCAGTTTTGATTAGACGCCGATCTTTACGCAGCAATGCCGGCTTTACCTCAAAAAACTAAATCAGCAGATGATTCCTGTTTTGCATTTTGTGTGTGTTTGTATGTGGCGGGGATCAGTTTTGTACTGAATTAAGTAAATAGTAATTGACTCGTTCTCTGGATGAGACTGTGGAGCTAATTTCAAGATTCAAATTCATCAATTAAGCAAGAGATGATATTCTGGCCCCCGTTCAGCCCCCAAGATCAACGGATTCAGATATAGATAACGAATAAAATCTGAACCAATTAAATGATTATAGTCTAAAATATAAAAACAAATATTTATCAAACCCCGAACCAGTTAAATGCTTATAAACTCAATTATAAACAATCAATATTTGCCTAACACTGAACCAGTTAAATGTTTATAAACTCAAATATAAACAATAAATATTTATCAAACCCCGAACCAGTAAAATGCTTATAAACTCAATTATAAACAATCAATATTTGCCTAACACTGAACCAATGAAATGCTTATAAACTCAAATATAAACAATCAATATTTGCCTAACAATGAACCAGTTAAATGCTTATAAACTCAAATATAAACAATTAATATTTGCCTAACACTGAACCAGTTAAATGCTTATAAACTCAAATATAAACAATCAATTTTTGCCTAACACTGAACCAGTTAAATGCTTATAAACTCAAATATAAACAATCAATATTTGCCTAACACTGAACCAGTTAAATGCTTATAAACTCAAATATAAACAATCAATATTTGCCTAACAATGAACCAGTTAAATGCTTATAAACTCAAATATAAACAATCAATATTTGCCTAACACTGAACGAGTTAACTGTTTATAAACTCAAATATAAACAATAAATATTTATCAAACCCCGAACCAGTTAAATGCTTATAAACTCAATTATAAACAATCAATATTTGCCTAACACTGAACCAGTTAAATGTTTATAAACTCAAATATAAACAATAAATATTTATCAAACCCCGAACCAGCTAAATGCTTATAAACTCAAATATAAACAATCAATATTTGCCTAACACCGAACCAGTTAAATGCTTATAAACTCACCTATAAACCGCCAGTATTTGACAAACCCCTGAACTTTTGAAATGAATTTGAAATTCACAAAGGCTCCCCCATTCTGAGCCACGAGGCTCGGGAACAAAGAAAATGAATATCTTTCAAAGTCAAAATAGTTTTTCTCCTAGACTGGCCACCACAAGTTTTCTATTTATCCCGTGACTGTAGGAGGAAAGAAATGGACCCTTGTCATTGTCAGAGGTTATTTATGAAAAAGTAAACACAGTAGCCTCCGCTGGAATTTGAACTCGGCTCACCAAATCCAATTTTGAGCTCTAATAACAGTTACTGAAAAATTGACAAGAACAAAAACATAATAACAGTGTGCCGAGGAGAGTTCTGAGTTAGTTATGAAGCATGCCAACAATTATCACCAGGGAAAACCAACTTTTATAATATGAAGGGGATTGATGGAGTAATGAGAGTACTTGTTGTAACTTAACCTCCTGTGAAAGCCTCCAGATATTTTTAGAGTGAAAACTGAATGAGCACAAATAATAATAATAATTCATGCATAATTTCAGTTGTGGGTGGGACCCTGAATTTGATTGGAAACGATATGTAATTCATGTCTTAAAGAAATTTAAAAAAATTGTTTGCAGTATTCACTTTACAAAGATGATGCCTTTTCTGACAATAAGTCTCTGATTTGGGACCTGGGCGGAAATGTACATACAAAAACAACAACAACAATAATAATAATAATAATTTGGGACTACACAATACACACTGACAGAACAATCACAGCCAACCGCCCAGATATTGTTATTAAAGACCACAAACAAAAACGGTGCCTCCTTATTGATATGGCAATCCCTGCAGACTGCAATGTATCTTTGAAGATATTCAAAAAGCTGTCAAAATACAAGGACCTTGAAATAGAAATCTCAAAAATGTGCTATATGGGAACATCAACAATCCCTGTTGTAGTTGGAGCACTAGGGCTGGTTGGAAAAGATTGCAGTAGACTAATTGAAGGGATTCCTGGAAGTCCATGCCTCAAGGAGATACAAAAATTGTTCTGACAATATAATTTTTCAGTATGTGTGCTTGATAATTTCTTGTTAGCAAGCATTGGTTCTGTGCAGCAAGATCATTATTATTATTATTATTATTATTATTATTATTATTATTATTATTATTATTATTATTATTTCCTTTGATTTCTGGCGTTTACACATTTCTTTCCGGGTCCCGCCCAGGGACCTAAGGTTAGAAATGGCATCATGACACTTTCCACTGACGAAAAAAAAAAATTAAATAGATAAAGCCCTTCGTAAAGTGTGCGCTGTACTTGTCAGTACAATTTCTTGGATCTGCTTGAGGCATGGATTTCCAGGAATCCCTTCAATTAGTCTACTGCAATCTTTTCCAACCAATCCTAGGGCTCCAACTACAACAGAGATTCTTGATGTTCCCATATGCCACATGTTTGAGATTTCGATTTCAAGGTCCTTGTATTTTGACAGCTTTTTGAATATCATCAAAGATACATTGCAGTCAGCAGGACTGCTATATCAATAAGGAGGTACTTTTTTTGTTTGTGGTCTTTAATAACAATATCTGGGCGGTTGGCTTTGATTGTTCTGTCAGTGTGTATTGTGTAGTCCCATAGAATTGTAACAGGTCCTATCTCCGTAACCGGGTCTGGGTGGTGTTCATACCAGTTTCTTTCAGTTTCCTTGTCGTATTATTATTATTATTATTATTATTATTATTATTATTATATACCGAGGAAATTGTTTTTGCTTATTTTACTATCATCATCATCATCATCATCATCATCATCATCATCATCCCGTTCTCTGCTATGGTCACACTACCTGCAAAGTCTGCAGGTAGTTTTGTGTTCCTATATTATAATAATAATAATAATAATAATAATAATAATAATAATAATAATTATTATTATTATTATTATTATTATTATTATTATATCTAACTGACAAGAGTGCTGAAGCAACAAGGAGACGTGCTGGAATTTGCAAAACAAAAAAAAAACACTACTCATTTAATAACTGACTGAGTAAAAAATTAAAAAAAAAATTAAAAAATGCCCCCAGCCTTCAAATCAAGCATTTTTAGATTTTTGGGCATTATTTTCAATTCGGCGACTTTTGGCGTTCATTCTAGCAAACGACCAATTTTGGTGAGAAGACAGTACTCAAAAATATCTCCATCCTTAGGCGTGACTCACAAAGAATTACTCTTGGCGTTCCAGGACGATAGATTAAAAAAAAAAAGAAGATCTAATTTACTTGACTCCATTTTGACTCATTCAAAAGTGATCAGCGCGCCTTGAGTCTAACAAAGTAATCATTGAACGGTTGCGTTTCGTTACAGTTCATTTCGTTTCGTCTGCTACGCTTTCATGTTTTTAATGTAACCATCCAGATTCAGGATTTTGGACGCTTTACACTAATTGTGAAAGTGTTTGTTTTTTGCCGCCTTTTCTCGAGGTTAAATGTATAGACTTTTTTGGCGGGGGCGGGGGGGTATAAATGTGTGTATCCATACATACGAGATAATTTCTATTTTAGTGCGCAGTTATTAATTTTTTTTTTCTTCTTTTACATTGTTAATGTCCTTACCGTATATTAGATGAAAGATCAATACATCGTGTTATATGTAATGATTATTATTCCAGTCATTCAACACGAAGTTAACAAACGGATATTATATATTTTATTTTCTAGCTATCAACCCTATAAAAACGGGGGTGGGGGGTTAAATTACTGCTCTTTTGTTGATTCAATTTGAATATATAAATAATCTCAGGGCGTGGGCGGCCATGATTCTCCATAGCTTCCGACTTTCTTGTTACTTTCAGCAAACATTATCTTCAGTCTTTCTTTCACTATGTCTATTTCAATTTCTTACTATCTCCATGTAGCATATCGATTCAAAGTCTTCAGGATCAGGCTCTCCAAACTGTCCTTTTTTTTATTTCAGCCATACATAGATTATTATTATTATTATTATTATTATTATTATTATTATTATTATATTTTTATTTTCTTTGATTTCTGGCGTTTACACATTTCTTTCCGGGTCCCTTGGGGACCTAAGGTTAGAAATGGCGTCATAACACTTTCCACTGACAAAAAAAAAAAAAAAAAAAAAAAAGATTACATAGATAAAGCCCTTCGTAAGGTGTGGGCTGTACTTGTCAGAACAATTTTCTGTATCTCCTTGAGGCATGGACTTCCAGGTATCCGTTCAATTAGTCTACTGGAATCTTTTCCAACCAGTCCTAGGGCTCCAACTACAACAGGGATTCTTGATGTTCCCATATGCCACATTTTCGCGATTTCTATTTCAAGGTCTTTGTACTTTGACAACTTTTTGAATATCTTCAAAGATACATTGCAGTCGGCAGGGACTGCCATATCAATAAGGAGGCACCGTTTTTGTTTATGGTCTTTAATAACAATATCTGGGCGGTTGGCCTTGATTGTTCTGTCAGTGTGTATTGTGTAGTCCCATAGAATTGTTATTATTATTATTATTATTATTATTATTATTATTAT